GAAAGATTATAGTAACGGTTCTATGTTAATTTAATAATTGATGTATTCACTAATTAAGTTAATTCTGAGAATAAAGCATAAGTGACAAACTGGTTCAACAAATAGGCTTTATCTTAATGAAGTGAAAAATAAATAAAAATATTAACTACCACTGAAGCTTCCAAATTAATGATTTCCTAAAAAATGACTTTCCTGTGGAAGCCAATTCATGAACAGTGTGAAAGCATTTCAGTGTTCACATGGACTAATATAAGATACATAAGAATGGGCAAATAGGAAAACATTAATTGTATAGCTAAATTAAAATGAAATTCATTTTTTATCATATTCTCTAAACATGGGATTCCTATAGCATTGCAGGAAAATGGAAGATGCATGATACTCAGAAGAGAGATACTTATACATTTCTGGAAATAATGCAGCTAAACTTCCTTTGTTTCATGGTCAGATGCACTCTGATGATTATTCTCAACTTTACGACATTAAAAATAGTTACCGATAATCAGCAACTATAGCTTAAGAGGTCTTGTGTCTTATACTATACATACATCCTTGAAAATACATGTTATGCACAATATACATAAAGACATTGCTTTCACAGAGTTGAAAAGGAGAGAACATAAGGCACATAAAGTACACTCTTCTGTTCACAAATGAAAAGTGATGATGACTTAAACATGATGAAATTAGGACTACAGTTATTCTTCATCGTTCAAAGAAATTTAAACTTTTTTTAAAAAACTGATATCTTAGAAAAGATTAGGATTCAATTCTGTTTCAAATAAAAATAGTGAAAATTTGATAAAAGAAGTGTATTAATACATTTACTGATTATGTAATATTTTAAGTTTTAAAATCCTTTCAGGGTCATTCTGACAAAGAAAGTGGCAAAAATTATGACATGTAAACATAACAGGGACTTAAAAAAACACCAAAATGGAGGCCGTCCACACCACTCAGAAGACAGACTCTTTAGTAAGAAATTATGATTGTCAATAAATATTAGAGCAATATTGAGTTGGGATAAAGAACAGGAATATACGGTTAATTGTTCTTATTTTATGAAAAAAATTTATGAAGAAAATTGTGATAGTCTCTAAAAATTTTAATAGAATTTATATTCTGCTCTATATTTACTTGTAATCTGCCTCTACAAAACCAAAATTCTTTAGAGAAGAGGCTAGGAGTACAACATACTACTCAGTGTAACCCACAGTAGGAGCTCAGTTTTTAATAAATAAAGGACCTGAATACAGAGTTGGGGTAAAGGATAGGTACAAATGTGATCAGAGGCACTGTCTATAATTTTAGTTTGATTTAAGTATTAAGGAACATGTTCAGATGGATGAATTAAATATTCTAGTAAGTTATCTAGATTAGATAGCTTATATAATATTTCTCCATTAATAAAATCAGGCAATTTATTTAAAAATCCCTACTAAAAAACAAACTGTTCTTTATTGTGCATTTATAAATTTAGAGCCCAAAGTCTTATGTGAAATCGAAAAGTCATACTTCTAAAACATTCAGTTATTTATTTTAGACACACAGTCAGACAGACCTGCCTTGACCTCTTCACCCTGCTTTTCTCCCCACTGCTCTTCCACATGCCCAGTTTCTTCATTAACTTCTGTATTTGCACAAGTAAAGAAAAAAATAAGACCAGATATGTATATTTGTTACCCTTAGTGACAAAAAATTTCAAATTATTCATGATACAATGAATGACTATAAGGAGACTAATAGATTATTTTTAATGAGTTCCTCACATGTTCTGGAAGCCAATAAGTAAGTATTCTATTAATAAATTATCATATTATCTCCTTTTATGATGGCTTTGATTTATAAAAGAGAAATTGTAGTTCCTAAAATATTTGCGTATGTGATAACTGTGTAAAGTATGCAAAATATTCTGTCCATAAACTTGATATATTCTTGGAAAAATAACATATATCTTTTCTTCTACAGAACCAAAAAAATGATATTATAAACTCTCTTTTATTTTCACAAAATGCCAGGATATCAAAGTTAGGAGAAAATTTTAAAAAATATTAATGCCTTAACAGTTGTTTAGCACATTGTACTTTTCTTATATTGCCCCTGTTTTTTCTGGCTCTCAAACAAAAAGATAACCAATATTGTACCATCATGAAAACCAACATATCCAAGGTTTTAAATTAACTTACTTAACAGACTAAAATATAACCAAAATCAAAAGGAATTAAAGTAGGAGTTATTCATTTTTTAGTTGTTGAACAGGATGAGAAAAATAAACACGTCATTACCTTGATTTTAAAATGTCATTAAATTACAACTTCTGACAACTTTTTAAGAAATAATCCAAACATCATTTGATTTAGACCACCAACTGAGAGCCTATTTTGGGTTATGCACCTTTAACTTCAGTTGGAATTTGAAAACTTCTAAAAGAGATATTTTGTATCTCCACTAAAGCTAAAGAAAATTACACAATTATGTATCTGCTGAAGTCTTCATAGCAACATTTACAAAAACACTGCTGAAATCATTCACAAGATCAAGCAAAACAAAACAAACAAAAAATCCTTTTATCTCATACTGGAAATGGTAAGGAACTGGAAAAGGAAAAAAAAATTCACAAGGAAAGGACATTAAAGGAAAACCATGGTTTTAATAGATTCTATAGGGCAAAAACTGATGGCATATAGAATGTTGGTTGACAAGCCCATTAAAAACTTCCTGAACCCCGACTTTCAGTATTAGCTCTAGGTTGACTTTCTGGTAGGTTTATTATTACAAAGAACAGAACTACTCACATCTCAACAGAGTATTGCTATAAAAGATATTAAAGCTGAATTTTTAAAAAAGTTGTGACATAAACTACGTTTCTGACTTCATATGCCAACAAATGAAGTCAAAATTCTGTCTTTAGAAGTCCTGGGGAGACAAAAAATTTCCTACATACCACAGAACTTTCTTTCTGGAAAGTACTTTTTAAAATTATATAACCCATTCTAACGTGAATAACTAAGAACCACAGAAATACTGCTGTAATCTCCTTGCCAGACAGCTAAGAGAACATTAGTCATAATGGCATGGAGTTGTTTAAAATCATGGTACATAGGACAGAAAGAACCTCACTATAGAAGTCCATAAATCACTCAGTTACTAACAAGAACACAACTGTTCCAAGTTATATAAAGCGATAAAAGTATTGCTGCCCAAAAGCAGTGCACTTAAAATTTTGTTACAAATAGGTTATAGATATCTTAATATAAAACACATTTTAATATAAACATCTATAGAATGACAAGATTATTTTAGGGATATATTATACACTATCTGAAGTAGCTTTTCAATTTTTAAACAGTGTTTCATGCATTCATTCAACAAATATTTATTGAGGGCCTATAAAGTGCCAGGCATTATTCTATGTGCTGGAAATTCATAAGTAAATAAAACAGTTAACAATTCTTTAAATTTACAAAGTTAATTTCAGAATTCTTTCATTGGTAGAGGAATTTTTATTATTTAGTAAATGTATTACACTCCATATATCATGACTCAATATTTTCTCTTGAGTCATAAATGTAGTGTAGATAATAAAACTGTATATATTTAACTTTGGTATACTGTAAACAGTCTTGGTACAACATGAAAAGTGATGTAGGAAATACAAACCACAATCACTATCTAATTCAACAACTTTCTTTTCTAGAAAGTCAAATTTAATAACTGAAAGATCATCATAAATACGAAATGAAATATATGATGATAAGTATCACTAGACTAGGTGTACATCTTCAGTGACATAAACACAGACTGCAATTGATATCTTTGGTTAAAGTCTTCCACGACATATAGAATTCTGCTTGAAAGGCAAATTAAAATTTTTTTAAAAACAGAACATTTTATCTTATCACTTAAAGGAAGTTCAACTCTTTGCATTCTTACTTGAACGAATCAAAGAAACTTAACTCCTTGGTATAATTTCCAAGTAAAACAAAAGTTGAATACCAAAAATCATAAAAGAAAATCATTTACTGTATATAAAAGTCTATACAATGGACGGATATCAATTGCAGTTGGGTTTATTTTTGCTTACATAGCCCCCCAAAAAGGCTGTCAGCACAAAACAAACCCTCCTTTATGTACAGACCTTCATAAGGTTCTATCTCCTTGACTCCATTGTCTAGGAAAAACAAAATAAAAACAAAACAAAAAAGGGAACCAAAGCACAGGGGTTAAAAACAACAGAAATTTCCAAAGGCACAAAATGTATGTATCATCCATTAAAGAAAAGTTAAATGGTGATTTAAATATATATATATATATATGTATTTTTTGGCAAAGCACATCCAGTTACTAAATAAAGGGACCATTTAAAAAATGAGGTTAAAAATTATTATATTCTATCATCCATGCTTTTAGAGGTCCTTTATCTAAGAATTTATAGATGTTTGGGGAATATGCTCATCTGTGTATAAACAAATAGTGCTATCCTTATGCAAAAATTTGAAAGTATTAAAAATATCAGTACAACATGCATCTTTCTTTGTATATTCATGATTACCTTTTCTCTGGTACTCCAGTTTTGAGAAGGATCACCATTGTTGTGCATCAGCTAACCAGTCCTTTGCAGTGTGTGAAAATTGATTTGGCTAGTTACTAATAAACTTTATGTAACTATCAACAATTACATACACTTAGTTGTAGCAAAGAAATATCATCCAACTGCTTATTTAAGAGTATTAAGTTTACTTTTTAAAATGCATTTATTCAAATTTTGAAAATGTGCAAGAGCAATAACAGTAGGTTATTTTACCTCCAAATATTACAAATTTTAAATGCAAAATATATAACATTTATAAATATGTTTATAAATATAACTACTAGCAAATGCGGCTAAGGCGTTCAATTAACAAAAGAAGAACACTAACACAAAGGTAGTAAAAAAAATCTTGATTCACCTTAGCTTCCATGTGTATTTCCTACATGACATAATTAGAAATAAAACTTACTTCTCTCCAATGTTCCCTTTGGCGGAAGTTGTGGAAGTTGCCGGCCCCTTCGTCCTGCCACTGGAGTACTTGATGGGCTGGTTTGGACTGACCCAGTACGAGGATGAGACCTACAAGATACACCATTGATGCTCATTTTCAGTAGGATGAATGAAATAATTTGAATGCATTTGGTTCATATGATAGCTGTGCAAGTGCAATTTTAAAAGAGGTGTAGCTGCTGATTAAAAGGTTAGGAAAGTAGGACAAAATATGGATATTTGAATGATTGTCGAAAGATGTTTCTACTTTTGTGTCATATGCATACATACACAGATACATGCACACAAAATCCTACAGTAACGTCCATGGAATTGTTCATGTAAATTAGTATTCTATCCATTCGAAAGCAACAGGAGAGTTCTGCAGCTCAAAACATAAAAGGTAATGTTTTACATTTCTTTCTACCAGATTTTAAACTCTCAGCACTACTAACCTCCCTCCCTTGATCCAAGGAGATTTTTACTCAGGCTTACATTAGATAATCCTTTATTAGAAAATATCTCCTGAAACTACAAATAAAACCCTGAACAATTCAAAATTCAACTAAAGAAGGTACTGGTTAATACATGATATTAGTATTGATAGAAAGAAACAAAAATCTAGTTTTAGTTATTGTCATTATGATGATTATTCCAAAAGTGATATCTAATGGACACAAACAATTTCTCATTCTGTAGGAGAAGAACATGATAGTTATGAGGTGCATTATGGGGGGATTTACCCAGGACTCCTGATAAATGAGAAATCACAAAACAAATGTGGTCAGGACAGTTAAAAACAAATTACAATGGTAGCCACACACTATTATATCCGCTGAATATAAATAGTGTGCTTATACTGAAAAGGTTAGTATCAGATTGTTATTAGTGATCAGCCAAGGATGACAGAAGAGACCATTTAGCTGCTGGGAAAATAAATAGGTGTGCTGGTGGGGCAAAGGGGAGGTTAGTCTGATTGATTTATCTTTCACCTCGATAAGGCAGGTGAAGGAGGGGCAGATCTTCCAGTCATTAATGAAGGCATCGACCTCATGAGGTTTGTATCAGGACGCTCAGTGGATCTGGAGCGGGTGGTGGTCCGCTCTAGGAGAGGCCGCTGTTCTGTTGATCTGGATCTGTGATATGGCTGTCTATCTGCTGCTTCACAATCCCTGAAACGTTAGTCAAAAAGCAGCTCAGTTGATCTTTAGTGCCCTTCTGCTATTTGGTTATGATGCATCAAATTGATTTTGAAAAAGGTCATTGTTTAAAATTATCAAATTTGCAAAAACATAGTCTGAGCAATTCTCACTAAACTTCTTCAGAATATCTAAGGAAACCAAAACCTGCCTTTAACAGCAATTCCCAATGAAGCTACTAGGAGTTGCTCAGTTATCATCAGTGACAAACGAAATTGCCTCCTTTCCAAAATGAGCTCCCTAAATGGAACAGGTGAAATATGTGAAGTATTCTATTTCAAAGAATTCAATGGCTTTTCCTAACACTTTTCATAAGAGTGAAGAAAACCATATAAGCATTAATTCTAAAGCCGCTAAGGCTATTATATGTCAACTGAGCTATAAAAAGACTTTCGGCACCCAAAATAGTATATATTGATGCACCCAAACATTCCAACAGAAGAATCGAAATGTTCTAAGAGAACACTGCAACTTCGCAGGCTGTAGTCATACTTAAACACATGGTCCACAGGAAGAATCACAGACAACTGGTTAATCAGCCAGTCTATGCCACCTATCTCGGGGCACTTTAGCAACGCCAACTGATACCATTCAGAAATGTATTAACAGATCGAAAATAATAATGGTTCTGAAACAATGGGATCTCTTTGACCACAAGTAGGGCCAATATCAAAACCGAACCCTTGTTGAAAGAAGTATACTTAAATTTCAGGAACCCACCATTACTGACTTTTGTATCCCTGGAATTTACCATGCTTTTAACACCTAATGTGTAATCAATAAATGTTTTCCAACACCAGCCCCACTATCTGCGAGACAACCCTAAGAACACAATTTTGGCTCGAGAGCTCCAAACTAACACATACGCCAAATTACACTTCAAATCAAACTGTGCCCTCCCCATCTAGTCGTAACCATAGACATGGAAATGCTTACATATTATGGACTGTAAAAACAAGCATTAGTCTCCCCCAAGACTAATGTAAACAACTTCCACTTCACCTGTAAGTTCTCCCAATCTCATTTTTGATAATGAAAAATGCAGGCAATTAAAGAAAAACAAGAAAAGAAAGGACACGATTTCCCACATGTAATTAATTATATGGCATATAATTTTGGACCAGCAGACATGAGATTAGATGACTTTAGGAAATGAATGCTGGGTTTATTCTACAATATAGCTTGTCATTCTCGTACACTTTAAATTTACAAGGTAATAATATATCAGTCAAATCATTCTTTTTAATATTTTAAAATCCATGCGCCATGATATGATTGATTTTCTAAGATAAATTTAGCATTTTTATATAAGTATATCCAGGATATGTCAAAAAAGCTGACAAATACAAAGTGTAAATACATATACAATATTCAATTACTTTCAAAGAGAGATATAAAAAAGGCAACCTGATGGTATAAAAATTTATAATTCTATTTTTGTTCCTGAAAAACTATTTGAGAGAGAACACTTTTCTTTAGAAATAAATGTGCTAAATAGTTTGTTTAAATGTTTTTAGTGTACATATCTTTGTATAGCTGCATCACAGTACATAAGCAGAAGCAAAGGAACATATATTTATATCTTAGATTCCTTAAAACCTATTTTTTTGGAGAGTACCAATTTTTACATTATTTTCAGATTTCCTATTATCTTAGGGTGTTAATAATAAACTTATCTTATTATATGACATGTAGTGACAAAATTTTGTGGAATGTCTTTGACTACCCCAGCAGAAAAGCAGGCTAATCTTTCCTGTATTTATGCAAAATTTGATTTATTCTGATTCCATCAAGCAACTTTTCCAAGTGAAAACTAAGATGTTAGGATATATACTCTTACTTCTTTGACACTATATTTTAAATAACTGAAATACATGATTGTGAGTGAAATCCAGAGAATTCTTTCAAATTTGTTGCTATGTCCTTAAAAGGATACTGTTACTTTTATATAAAGCAAACAGGTCACTCTTTAGGAAATAAGCCTTATTAAAATTTCTCTTTAGTGGAAAAGTTGTGTGAAGACTATGTCAATGTTTTAAATTCTGCTTATAATTCTTCTCTACACATTCATAAATAATATGAATTATATGATTTCCATAGTGTGAAAGGAAAATTGGTTGATAAGTGAAACACAGACACACACAAAAAACCCACAGTAGAATGTAGTAATTTCCTAAAATGTCTACCATAGTTAAGGGGAATGAAAAGCTACCATATTTTAAACTTAGATAACACAATAGAAGATCAACACAGGCTCCTGCTCCCACAATTGGGGGAGAATAAGCCTTCCTAAGTAAGAACTAAGACAATTACTTCGAAAATTGAAAGCAGCAATGCCTACGTCTTACATATAACACCCAGTCTTATAGCAGGTTCTTTAAGGGAATGAGATATAAACCTTGACAACTTCCACCTAAATTCTTAGTGAATTTTAGTTTTAAGATAAGAACTTAAAAATAATTAATTTTGAATGGTAGCAACTGAGATGTGGGAAATATGCATTTACAAGGCATAAAATATTTTAGTTCCTGAACTTGGGGTCCATATTTCAGTGTAAGTAGTTTTCTTTGTACCTCCACTTAATTTACTTTATCTTACTTTAGGCATTTTAAAACATTCTTCTAAAAAGAATGGCCATAAGTTTTCCAAGACCGCCAAAGGGCAAGCCATATAAAAGGTTAGGAACCATGCACCTTTAACTTTAAATCTTTCTTAAGGTAAATAATCTTGCTGTCTTTTAAAAAGTGATATCATTTCTAGTAATTTGCTATCTTTCATAGTTCTATTTTTTCATAAATAGTTTATAATTTGAAACATATGTGTAAAATAGTTCAGATTTTTGCATGTATCATTTACCTGGATAAATACCAATTACCGCTCTGCATTATTTAGGGGCTCCTATTCCAAGCTGCAAGCGTTTGCAGAGGACCTGTTTAATAGCCCTTCCACAAACAGAGCTAATTCATCTTGCCTGATAATACCGTAACAAGAGCCAGTATTGTAACAACTCAGCTTTATTATTTTTTTATTTTTTATTTTTTTTACAACTCAGCTTTAAAAGCCTATAATAGCACAGGTAGAAATTGAGCTGAGGATTTCTAAGGGAAAAATAGTTTTATAATCATCTAGTAAAGTTGCCCATTTTGAGTTATATTTCCCTTCACTCTAGTTGCTCTGAAAAGAATTTTTTAAATTTCCAAGTATCTGGCACAGCTTTCTACTTATTTCATCACGTTTGCTATTTACTTTTCCTACTCTCAATTACAGCACAATGTAACAGGGAAGAATAGGGCAGTGGGCCTTCTCTTCTATAACCACTTACATCCGACCATCACAATGATTCAACTCCATAACAACAAAAGCTCAAAGTAGAGCATCTCTGTAGTTATGACAAAAGAATACTAAGAATACTCAAAAAAAAAAAAAAGAGAGAGAGAGAAAGAAAGAAAGAAAAAACCACCACAAGCACAACACAAAATTTCAAAGTAATTTGCAGATATTAGTGAAAATTATCCCAGAATATGACTCAGAACTTATAGTCTATGATAAATTAGGCTCATTTCACACTTAGATTGTAGAGATGCCATAAGTCAATGTGAAAGGTTTTCTTAAAAAATAAACTTGTAAAAAGTGAAGCTATTTATTCTTTTTCTTCCTTTTCATAAAGAAATTATTTCTCTAATGCTGAAATCTTATATTAAAAAAATTTTCAATGTATCTCTGAAGGACAACAAGGACATCTCTCATTTGGGGCAAGAAATGTGTTCCTTCTATCCATACTGTGTAATACAGTAAGCTGATTAACAGCAGGAGTATTACACTTTTGATAAAATATACTGAATGTCTAGAGATTTTCTGAGAATTAACTGCATAACTGAAGAAATAAAATACAGGATAAAATTTTAAAAATAGACATTTTAGGGTAATTAATAAAAAATATATATTTATGTAATATAACAAATAATTTAAATTCGATAACTCAACTCTATAATTTTCACGCTCATCATAAATTAGAATGTCCAAGTTAACTTCTTAAAAACTCTAGTTTATATTATTTTAGTATTGCTTCCAAGGTAAAGAGAATTGCAAGACACACAATGGAAATCATGGTAAATAAAGAAAGAGATACTGTGTACAGATAGGAACATTTTTATTATCCTGGTGGAAGATAGATTAATTTATCCTTAGGCATGATAGCATCTCTTTACAGAACATTTCTGCTCATTTAAATGTTAATTCTGTATGTTAGTTAAAAGTGAGTTTATTCAAAAATAATAGCGATATCTAGTGTTAGCCAAGTTAACAACCTAAGATGTGAAAACAGCAATAATACATATAGTGAGGTGGGAAAGTAAGACACTTCTAATGTAGGAAACCATATTACTGTTACTGATAGGCCTAGTTTATCATCAAAAAGAGAAGTAAACTGTTCTCATATCTAGAGATGCATTTTTCTTAGAAATAGGAGATAGCAAGAAGAAAAGATTAAATATCTCAATTTCCTGAAGAAAATTAGGGACAAATGCAATACTGAAAAATAAAGATATATTGTATTATTAAATATACACACACAGAAACATAAAATCTGTAAATGTCTTGAGGATATTTTGAGTATTCTATTAAATATTTATAATATTCAGTTATTTTTTACTTCAAAAAATAACAGAAACAAAACCACAGATAAGCAGGGTTACTTACTCAGCAGCAACTAACATGCAGCAAATTAATACATCTTTAAAATATATTTTTTAAAAATCCTGAGATAATATAATTACCATCAATAATCTATAAAATTCTTACTTTACTAAATAGATAATTTTCATTGTCAGTGGATGTTCCAGTTTAATAACATTTTGTCAATTGTAAAAAATTAGTGTTATTCCACTATGGTAGGGGATCCCTATGCTTTCCCTTCCCAGGTCCTCAAATTTTCCATAAAATAACAAACATTTTAAAGATGTATGTCTAAAGGA